TCAAAAAGACTATCTAAAGACTATCTAGCACCCTAAATCCTAGCCTAACACACCATATAAAGAAAAGTGCATCAACCTAATATCTAAGTGGGGGGTAAGTATAGGTGTAGTATGACTTTGACGGGGTCATCATACCGTCCCCATCCTAAAGATCCAAATGATCTAAAGGGTGTCACGAAGAATGGTGACACGAGTTAGATCTATTAGATCTTTAGCACAGTCATACTCATGTCAGTCCCGATGAGTTAACTCGCATTGCTCATTGGGATTGACCCAGCGAGCAATGCTCGTTAAGGCATCGCGACCAACACGAGAGTCACTCTCCTAACGGGTTTAGCTCGCTATCCATGCAAACATGCAAATGCAAATGCTAATGCAGGCGAATCAAAACATATAAATAGTGATAAAGAGTATGCCATGAAGGCAGTGACTCGTAGAAGCGGGCATACCGTAGCAGTAGTAGCCCCAAAAAGATGGGCATGCCGTGGTGGCAGCGGCCCTAGAAGGTATGTCAATAAGGCAATAAAACAAAGGTGGACATACTATGATGGTAGTAGCCCTAAGAAGATGGGCATGTCGTAGCGGCAGGGGCCCAAAAAGAGGGTATGCCGATAAGGCAGTGACTCGAAGGTAGGCTGTAAAGAGTAGGCATGTCGTGACGGCAGGGGTCCTAGAAAGATGAGGATGCCCTGGTGGCGGCGACCCTAAAAAGGTATGCCGATAAGGCAATAAAAACAAAGGTGGGCATATCGTAGTGGCAGTGGCCCTAGGAAATGTGCTACTCAAACATATGATCATAATCGTGCAAACATACAGATGCAAGGCGGGATGTAATAATATACTCATGCATATGCGCTACAATAGGCAAAAATGCAAACATACATGCAAGACAATATAGTGGTGCAAGTAGTTGGTCAACTGGGTCAAGAAATCCGGTCAAACCAAACTGTCGTATCAACCGACTCAAAGAAGCCGATTGAAATGAAGTAAAATGCTTGCCGGGCCGGGGCGGCCGGACGATGTGAAGTGAAATGCTCGCCGGGCCGAGACGGTAGGACAAGGTGAGGTGAAATGCTCGCTGGGCCGGGCCAACCGGTCGGAGCGAAGTGAAATGCTTGTCGGGCCTGGGCAGCCGGTCGAAGCGAAATGAAATGCTCGTCGGGCCGGGGCGGCAGAACGAGGTGAAGTGAAATGCTCGTCGGGTCGGGACGGCTAGACGGAGCAAAGTGAAATGACGTGATATGTGACATGCAAAATGCAACATGCAAACATAACATGTGATAGGGAGCCATTCTCGTGCTAACGTTCTCACCGGGAAACCTAGGGTCAATACATAAAAAGATGGCGATTGTCGCTTTTGTTTTGGCGAGGCAAGTGGGGAACTTCTCCCGGGATTCTCAAAGGGAGAATTTCTCCATCTCGTCATGAAACGGGCTAGCAGCAACACTCTTCCCAATTTCACGACGACTCCGAGCTTTGCAAAATGAGTTAATGACTGTCATTTTCTCATTTTGCAAAGGTCTACTTTTCGATCTTTCTAAAAGATCGGAACAACGAAAGCAAAGGGGAGCGAAGGGAGCTCCAACCTCTAGGATTTTTGTGCTAGGGCTGACAATCAAATATGATTCACTCGACTATCGTAGGAAAATTAGTTGTGCGACGGGATCCCATCCTATAAATCACCTCTAGGAAAACAATCGATCCATCACATAGGTGTGCCGCCGCGCCGGCCTTCGCCCGCGCACACAACCCCCGCCGCCTATCACATCTACAACCTAAGGCCGGCTAGGGAGTAAAATGCGAAAGAGAAGAAGAGTTATACCGTCGCGTAGTTTGCACAAAGCCTAAAGAAGTCTGACGGAAGCTTGCATGCGAGTTGGAAGTTTTTCGTACCCTCCCGAATGATGTTGATGTTCGCGGTCCAGCAGTGTCGAGGCGGCGAAGTGATGGATGCTAGTTTGTCGGCGGTGAACGCCGAAAGTGGAGGAGATGTGGAGGGAAAGCCCAAATATGAAGCTTCTCCTCACCGTTTTGCTCCGGCGAAAAGTACAACACCGGCAAGGCAAAAGTCGACGGGAAGATGGCGAGAGAGGAGGTCTTTTTCGCGAATGGGGAAGAGAGGAGCGGGAGTTCGCGAACTCGCGATCCTGAGGAGACTCTGTCGTGAGAAGATGGAGGAGGAGCCGCCGTTTTTGCCAAAAAAAAATATAAATAAATAAATCCCCCTCCATCCTCTGTTGCGAACCGGAGCTTTGGAGAGCCAGAGAGACGTGATCTTGGGGGAAGAGAGGAGTTGCTTCTGCCATTTTTTTTACCGTTAGAGAGAGAATAGAGGAGAGAGGGAGGAGAGGAGAGAGGAAAATGAAAATCTTTTAGAGAGTTACAGCTAT